CTTCTGGATCCTACCTGAGTACAAACCTGGCCTCAGACCTGTCACTGTTTGACAGGCCCATCACACCCTTGATCCATCGCATCAGCTGAGATTTAACCATGCCTCCCCCCTTTCCTCCTACACAGTTGGTTAGGCTGAGCCTAGTGGCAAAAGTTTTTATCTCTGTTTATTTTCATTTTGCATGTATCTGGTCACTATTCTAGCCTGACATCTAACATATTAACTGCGTTTCCTATCTTGACGTCAGCCACCAATTAAAGCAGCACACCATTTCATTCATGCCTTCCTCCACAGGACTGACAAAAATACTGAAGAGGTCAAAGGAGAGGACAGAGGCTTGGCTAACTGCTAGTGCCATTCATAAAGACTGACATGAATCCAGGCACCAGCACTCTTGGAGGAAGGTCTTCTTTAGAAACCTTAGGAAAGTGCTTCCCACTCATCCACAGCACTCTTCCAACTCACTCACTACACTTGTTACGCAAGCACAAGTCTCTGTCTCCCCTTGGGTGACAACCTCTTGCCCACTTCAAATTCCTCCATCTTTCCTAATGTATAATATATATAATGTATAATATATATTTATAGTTTATAAAAATGCCTAGAATAAGACAAAAAGGTATAAGGGAAAGGGAGGTGGCTTAAGTCAGACAAACCCAGCTGTGAATCCTACAGATACACTTATTAGCTCTGTAGAATCATGCTCACACTTAATACAGAGTTGTGTTCACCTCTTGTGTTGCTGGGGGACTGATTAAATGAAGTACCACATTATTTATCACATAGTGAAAATTTCCTAAATCTTTTTGCTTTTCCTCAACAAATTAGCAAATTGCAGTCAGAGCAAAAATCACTCAATAATTTAACCTATTTACTTTTTTGTCTCTGCAGCATACTGTTAATCAAAGGTGGACATTCTGCCTTATTCATCTTTGCATACCTAGCACTCAGAAAAATGCCTGGCATGAGGAACTTTTGCTGACCAGAGAAAGCAGCAACCTCCTCAATACTGCATCGCCAGTTAAACAGCAAGGGTTCTAGCAGCCTGAAGGCCTCAGACGGTCGATAGGTGTAAGAGGCCAAGAAGGACACACCATCGTAAACTTTTCCCAAGTTCACATAAGCCACAGCTTCCATTGCCGCCTCATGTCTGTGCCCCTCAAATGTGTCACCCTTGGCTGATTTCTCTCAGCCTCAGAGGTCTATATATCCAATTGCTATCCAACATCCCTGCCTGGATAGCTAGGATCCCTTCTGTTCCTGCTCACAGTGAAACACACCCCCATCCAGATGCACAGTTGCATCCAGGATGCTCTCGACTCCCTGCTTCCCTTCCACCACAGCCAACCCCTCACCGAGTCTGGTCAGCTGGACACATCACTGCAGCCAACAGGAAATCTCCCCCTCCGACCACACCGGCTTCTGTGGGCCTCTAGAGAAACCATAAATTTGCCCACCACCGGGCCTTCAGCCGAGCGGTTCCCTCCTCAGAGAAGGAGCCCCGCTCTCCTGCAAGACTCAGCGCTACAGCCCTGTCCTCAGAGAACCCTCCCTGAGCGCCAGACTGGGGCGCAACCCTCTCCAAAACCACTGTGCTTCTCCTTCACGGCACTCGTCAAAGTCTGCAAGAGTATTTGTATGATGACTTCATGTGTGAAAGTCGCTCAGTCATGTCCGGCTCCTTGAGACCCCATGGACTATACAGTCCATGGAATTCTCCAGGCCAGAATACTGGAGTGGGAGCTATTCCCTTCTCCAGGGGATCTTCCCAACCCAGGGATGGAACCCAAGTCTTCCGCATTGCAGGCAGATTCTTTACCAGCTGAGCCACAAGGGAAGCCCAAGAATACTGGAGTGGGTAGCCTATCCCTTCTCCAGGGGATCTTCCCGACCCAGGAATCGAACCTGGGTCTCCTGCATTGCAGGAGGATTCTTTAACAAATGAGCTATCAGGAAAGCCCTAATAAATGTCCCCAACTGGACTCCCCACAGAAAAAGGAATGAAGTGAGGACAACAAATACTAAACCCACTGGTAGCTATCATCTGGGCACAACAGAATATTTGACCAGAAAATAAGGCTATTTTCGTTCCCTGATTTTTATAAATTGGCAAAACCTATCATTTGCCTAATACCCCCAAGTTCAGCAACTTGTAAGTCAATTCAGTGAGTAAATCACTGTCTGACTCAACTACACTTCTGAATTAATTTAGAAAACAATGATTTTATGAACAAATCTAAGTGTGTATATATATTTTTTTATTTCAAGAGTAAATCAGATCTAAAAGGAACGTCAAAATAGTAATGGAATATACTTCTATTTCTCCTCAGACTTACTCTCACCATCCAAAACTGTAGAACTATTACCATGGTGTTAACAACTTCTAAAATTTACATCTCAAAGTACGTAATATTGTTCGTATCCTTGTACTACTACTGACAACCGAGTAGCAGGCTCTTATTTAAGAAAGGGAAATAATATGGTATATTTCCCATATAGACACAGATTTAAATCAAGAAAGGAAGCTTTTGTGAGAACAACTCAAATCTAAACCTTACCACTTTTAAAGCTGTGTGATGCTAAAAAAAAAAAAGGTTCACCTCTTAACTAAACTTCATCTCAGTTATCCCAGCTACACCAAGGACACAACCACTTTACCATACAGCTGTTTGAGAATTAGAGATAATAAAGTCAGGTTTCAGCATGTGACAGGCTTTTAACAGTGACAGCGTTTATTAACATCATTATTATATGAAGGTGTAACTCCAGATTATCAGTCTGAGGCACGGATACTCTTCGCTCCTCGACTGATGTACGTAAGACAGGCACTGCTTATAAACCCCAGCATTCATTTCCCCAACATCCAGTAAGCCTCAGAATCTTTCACCCTGTGGAAAAGCCGGCCAGACACTACAAATTATCAGTTTGCTAACATTCATCATATTTCAATGGCAAACAGGATCCTGTCTGAGAACAAACAGGATCCAACTTACTCTTTCCAGTAAAGTGGAACTACATAAAGTCTGACACTGACTCAGGCAGAGCCGCGCTCATATCCCTCTCCTGCTTCTGACTAGCTGTGAAACATGATGGGTAAACCATGCTCAAAGCCTTCGTTTTCCCATTTTCAAGTGAACGTAATACCACCCTCAAGAAAACAATCAGTCTAAAGATACTTGCTGTGTGGTTTACATGGATAAACAATTCCAGACCTATCAGAGCCATACCTAAGGACAAATCAGAAAAGTTACTGATTTTTCCAGCAAGTTCCATGGATGATATCGTGCCTCTTTCGAAGCATTTTATACCCAACCCCACCTCACTCCGAGCAAATGTTCTCTTCGGAGACAGGGCGCTATTTAAGATCTACTTTATCAGAGCCACCGTGCAGTGAAAGCATATACTGACTCTTACTGTAATGTGATTATTCAAAGAGAAAAGTTGACATGACTCATATACAGTCAAATCTTATAGACTGAAAAAAGAGTTTCGGGGCAGCTACAAGCAACATAAAAGTTCCAGGCGGGATACTGCAACAAAGGAAAGAAGATTACTGCACAGATGCTATTAGGCCAGCAGACAAAATTAAAACATGGACTGTAGGTAAAAGTACTGCTTCCAAGTTAAGCATCCTGACAGTGATGACTGCACCGGGGTATATAAAAGAAAAACCTTAGGAAACACACATGATACTAAGGACCTGGAGTTACTACGGATTAAAGGGGCAGGATGTGTGCAGACTAATCTCAAATGATTCAGGGAAAATATGCTATAGACAGACAGATAGGTGGGTAGACTCATACATAAACTTAATAGTAAAATGTTAAAAAGTGATGAGTAAAAGGTATATGGGATTTCTCTGTATTAGTCTCGTTAACTTTCCTACAAATGTGACTTCAACAAAATAAAAGCTAAAAAAGGAAAGGGGGGCAAAAAGGAAAGACAGCGGTAACTGAAAACCAAAAGAATCACACCCCTCATAAGGGGTCTTCAAGCAAAGTCTGCAGGTGCTCAGAAGAAACAGCCACCAACGAGGGCGCAACGTCAGGGGGCCTCTGGCAGGCTGGGGGCTGCGGCGTGGGAGGACCACAGGGCGAAGGAACCTTCAGAAGACGAGGAGACAGAGCAGGACAGACAGAAAAGATAAGTGGGCGTGATAAGCTGGAACTAACTGGGAAGCGGTGGAGGTTGCTGTGCTTTGATTGAAAGTACTCAAGTTGGCAAAACACACAATGAACACAAACTTTTAGGTATATTTTTCTACAAATTCTTAGGAGGCTTCCACCCCCCCCACACACACACACACAAATTACTCACAAAAAAAAGTGGGGGCTCCCCCTTCCGTGGTAGACACTTTCTTACAAATCATGGCTGCAGGTTATCGCCCCCAGTCAAGATTTAATGAGGCTCTGCCCCCTTGGCTTTCTTAAAGATGCTTTAAAAAGATCTCGGCCCAGCCCTGAAAGACGTGACACGAGCCATCTTTTAACCCAGAGCTCTTCCATGTCATTTTTGCAAGTTTCAGAAAGTAGTTTTATAACCACTTTCACATGTCACCCTGCTCCCACCTCTTCCCTACAAAGGGTCCAAGCAGATCAGCTCGCCTAGTCACGTCCCTACCAAGTTCTCAGATTTAAAGGAAAGCAACGACCCAAATGAAAACACATCTGGGATTTTTAAATCTTAGAATAAACAAAAAGGACTATCCCAAAACTGTCCCTGACAAAGACTTCAGTTGCAGGAAACCAAGGGTTTCAAGACCACCAGGTAATTATCAGTTCAAGTGCTCACTATGCAGAAAGAGCCTATCTCTCTAGGGATCCAGCCTAAGGGCTGGAAGAAGCTTCCAGACAGTGGAGCCAGGCCCAGGACAGACTGGCGTTAAGGCCACCTGGCCTACACCCTGCTCACCACTGACTGTGCGAGCCTAGGCAGATCCCTTCAGCTCTCTGACCATCAGTCTCCCCCTCTGAGAATTTAAGGATGGTAACAGCACCCACTTCACCGCATGGTTGTAAGTCTTCCACAACACAGCAGACAGAACACTCAGACAGGGCCTGGCACACAGGGAGGGCCCGGTTACAACGTTCAATTACTCCTGGGCCATCTCACTCCTCTGGGCATCACGTGGCAAGGGAGAGACTGAGAAATGAACCCTTACAACAGGTCTCTTCCCACACTAGCGTTCTGGAATTCTAGAGTCATCATCCACCTCCTTGCCGGAACTTCCAGCTGTCATGGTAAAGGATCAGAAGGAATGTGGGTGTTAGGGGTATTTCTCCTTTCTGTTACAGAAATCTTGTCAATTATCTGCCCTGAGGTCAACAGGGAGAGAGAAAGGCTCTAAAGAGGTCTACAGAATTCAAAGCTCAACATGCAAACCATCAGGGCTCACCTACAGGTGACACGCCCGCCGCCCAGCAGGTCTTCACCCACACTACATAGACCTGCCCAGCTGTACAGTCACACACTGCAGGGCCACGCACTCAGGAACATCCCCTTCTAGAAAGCCTTTGCACCCCACATACTTCTGGCCACCTGTAAACTAGAGAAAGGTTTCCAGTTCACAAAGTAACACTAGATAAAGGATTCCGTCATCTACAAAGACTCTCTTATTGAACAGATGCTAAACATGTCTACAACCAACTGCAATCCTCTAAACAGCGTCTCCCTCCTCTTAATATCTCCTTATAGACCCAACTTCTCATACACAATGAGCAAATTATTGTTGCTATTATTGCATTAATAAAAAACTAAAATAAAAGAATTCAAGTGCACCTTGACCCTTACCTCTGCAAGCCACCCTCTCCTAAATAATATTATACTGCCTTCCTAGATGTGTGAATTACAAGTAATAAAAGCTATGAAACCTGAGCCCGAGTCTGGCTTATAATAGGCACATAATAAACGTTTGATATATGAATGTGAGAAAGACATCCAACCATGGCTCCAATTCCACGTGAGACTTCTCCTGGACCCGAATTGTAATGCTTCGAACAGAGGTATTTTTCATTTCCAGGCTACACTGTCACCATTCCTAACATTCTTAAGACATCCCTTTTCAAATTATGTTTATAGCTGCTACTGTAATTAAGACGGGAAGAGGTCTATAAAGCAATACCACTCTTTAAAATACATAATATCTGTCAGCATGAGGAAAGTCTAAAACATTCTACACAGAGAAAAAGACCTATTTAACTTGGTCAGACCCGAAGCTGTCTGGGCACATTTTCAGTTTTGCTTTATTATTATTATTTTTTTTAAGTAAAACACTTGGAAAACATAAACCAGGATGATACAAAAATGCAATAATGCATTCCATTTTCATTGTGAGCTAGCTGTGTCGGTGGACAAGCAACCACAGAGCGAGCGCGAGAACGTGTGCGTGCACGCACACGCCTCCCACCGCAGTGCAGTGCGCGAGGACAGGAGTGCTCGGCTCACCTGCAGGTTATTTTACATACAGCCGGGCAGTCGGAGCAACGAGACGTTTTTACATGTAGCTGTAGAGCAAGAGTAGCAACAAGGTATGCTGGTCATATATCTTTAGCATTTATGGAAAATTATTAATCAAGTCCCACCTGAAACAATTTGTTAAATTGATTTTAATCACTGGGCCTCTCATGTGAAGCTTTGTATAATCAGCATTTCATTTACAAAATTAATTGCCTGATTGATTCTCAGGAGGCAGTTGCTGTCATTACCTGCTGTCATACTTCTGAGTAGGGTGTCACAACATGAAATTCTGACAGTATGACGAGCACTGCTATTTTAAACATGGGTGAGGGGTGAAAGGGAGCAAAGAGGAAAACCAAGGAAGTTACATTACCCCCTTCAGCCTCAGAAAAAGTTGAAAGTGTTTCATGCTAATTACACTGTATATCAATACCCTTCTGCTAAATTAATTAACATACAAATCTAGGGTTCAGGGCATGAAGTATTTTTCCTATATTAAAACAGTAACTAGAATGTAAAAGCACAGATTCCCCACTAGAGTTAAATCTTAATTTATGTTATAAAATATTTATATCTTGATAAAGAGCAGCCCTAAATTAGTCTGGTAGACTACTTGTCCACTGCTAGCCATCTCAATTTCCCAGACTCTGCCTTTCTCACTTTTCTAATAAAAAAGGCATAACCAGAAATTTTGTGAGTTTATGACTAGTACCAAAATATATCTATTTTAAGCATATGCAAAAACACACATTAGAATATGCTCATTTGGTCTTTTGAAAACAGAAGCTAGTATTGTTAAGATACACACTTTTTAGATTTCCTTTACTGCTCACTATTTAATATTTAGTAGTCTACTAGTAATTGATGGACCTTCACCTAGAAATCTGTCAGAAATTAAACAAAAATTAGGCTAAAATGTACTTGCCCTGTAAAAGGATAAGAAGACTATAGAACAAGGGAGAAAAAAGGGAATTTCTAAGCTATTAACATTAAAAGTGAGACCAGGTTATACCCTTGTTATCGTATTTTCAAATGGACCCGTGAGCATGAGATCTACCAAAGATTCTGTTTTTCTTTAGCATTAATTTTCCTTTGCAGAAAGAACGTACCCTACATCCTGCTCCCTCCCAGCTCTCGGGTGCATCTCCCACATTCTCCAGATTCCTTCAGAGCAAGGGGGACCACAACATCGACTGTTTTCAAAGGCAGAAAATTCTTTCTCTAGTTTAGATGGGGACTCATTTAAAACAATCCCCATTCAATGCAATCCAATTCCAATGAAGGCCTCTTTTAAATGGGTCACTCTGAATTTAAAAGAGGCCTCCTCGGGAGACCAGAGGTTAATTTGCTTTCCTTTCAGTACAGTGAATTTTGACTCCTCTGTACAGCCACAGATTTCCTTTTAAAAGGAAGATCACCTCATAAATTTGCTCTGTTATCTTGTGACTGAATGTGTTTTGTTTGCTGGCTTGGTAAAGAGAGCTAACTGGCACATTGTGCCCACTACAGCCCGCTAAGAGCACAAGTTCACAGCCGAAGAACGTGAGGCAAAGCCTTTCCAGCACAGCATCAGGGGGAGGGGCGGCGCCTCGGAAGGGTAGGCCCTTTCTTGACCTCCGGGTCACATTCACTCCCCTGCAGAGTAGCAGCAAGTCTACAGTTTTTACTTAGCTCACAAGGATGCCCTCCGTTTTGATTAGTCAGTGTCTACAAAAAGTGCTTCAACTCTGGAAAGGCATTGAGAGCATAAGGGATGCCTAGGATCACTCCTTAAGCTGCACACAGTGTAACTGTTTCAGAAAACAGGGTTCACATAGTCAAGCCCTTATCGATTCAGTACTTTCCTTACAAAAGAACTGAAAAGGGGGAAGACCGAATTCTCTTAAGCCAGTGCAAAGAGGGTGGCAACTTCACCTAAACATTTCATGCCAGCGTCACTACTACCTAGGACAGGGCTCTACAGTATATCAGAAATGGTTTAGAGCAGTAACTCAGAAGATAAAATGGATAAATGTTATATAAACAGGAATGAAACTGGCAGGAGGATGCAGTGGAAAATGCATATTCAGGATTATAATTTTCCATTTGGAAAGAGGAAAGTATTATATATGTAACATATTATGTAAAAGTAGAGTTTGATTTTAAAAAAGAATCTTAATTGTTGAGGATGTACAGGAAAAATTTAGCTATCTTTTCAAAGGAACTGGGGAATAGGGACCTGGTCTTCTGATAGGATGTATCTGAACGCTGGAAAAGGTTTGACAAAATTTATGTTTATCAAAAGAGGCGTGAATTATAAAAGGTTAACAAGGATTTAGATAAAAGAGGCAACAAGTTAGAGACCATATCCATTCATTCAAGTTTATTTAAACTGAACAGACATTAACGTGTAAAGTTGCCATAAAAGATACGCAGATGTGTAAGATGGTCCTTGACTTTACGAAACATACATCATAACAGAGGAGATAACAGATATATATAAACAATGCACGGTAGAAATACACTTGTAAATACCACAGGACAGAGGAAAATAAAGGCCTAGGAGAGTTCAGGTGAAGGTAGTAATTCCAGCTGCAAGAAATGGAAACATTCATGGGAAATTTATCATTTAACATGGATAATAAAAGATGAAAAAGATATACAGAAAGATCAAGGCACAAATATGATAATAACAGCTACTACTTAATGAGCGCCTATTGTGAGCTGAGCACCCGTAAAGCAATGTGCTTTACAATCAAGAGGACCAATCCTAACAAAAAACCCTGTGAAGCCCTCAATACTACAAACCAGGGTTTGGTTGAAGGAAGCCACCTCCCAGATTAGGCAGCTTGCCCAAGATTATCCTGCAATATAAATGATGGAGTCAGGATCTCCCAGGTCTGACTGGAGTCCTCCAGGGAAGGAGTCTCTACCAGCCATCACATTCCCCTTCCAAGCTACTCCAATTAATGCTCCTTGATATTAAAAAACTGTGAAAAGAAAACTCTTCTAACTGAACTGTGTCTCCAAATTATGTTAAAGCTCTAACATCAAGTGTAACTGTGTTTGGAAACAGGGTCCATAAAAAGGGAACAACAGTTAAAATGAACTCACAAGGGAAGGTCCCAATCTGATAGACCTGGCATCCTTGTAACAAGATGAAAGGCCAGGGCATTCTCTCTCCCTCCCCAGGCATGCACAGCAGCTGTGAGAGCACATGGCAAGGTGTGCAAGCCAAGAGCAGAGGCCTCAGAATGGAACCTCTTTGGCACCATGATCTCAGACGTCAAAACTCCAGAACCATGAGAAATAAATGTCTGTTGCTTAAACTACTCTACACTAGTCTACTACAGAAGACTAAGACACACCACCTAGACAGCACATTAAAAAGCAGAGACATTACTTTGCCAACAAAGGCCCGTCTGGTCAAGGCTATGGTTTTTCCAGTGGTCATGTATGGATGTGAGAGTTGGACTGTGAAGAAAGCTGAGCGCCAAAAAATTGATGCTTTTGAACTGTGGTTTTGGAGAGGACTCTTGAGAGTCCCTTGGACTGCAAGGAGATCCAACCAGTCCATCCTAAAGGAGATCAGTCCTGGGTGTTCATTGGAAGGACTGATGCTGAAGCTGAAACTCCAGTACTTTGGCCACCTCATGCGAAGAG